AGCTGAAATACCTGTCTGTCTGACAGAGTTCCTTGGTCATGCCGGGCAGAAGTCACCTCTCCCTCCTCTGATCTACAGGAAACTCTCTGGAGTGTTAATTAAAAACCTAATAGTTAAGTGTGCACTCTGGGGGTAGAATGCCTGGCTTTGAATCCCTGTTGCTTGTTAGCTACATGATCTTGGACAACATACTTTTTCTTTGAGTGCTTCTGCTTCCCTATCTGTGAAATGGAGATAAAGATGCCCCCTACCTCATGAGTTACTACATGTAAGTGTTATTGATTGTCATCATCGAGGATGATGCTACCACTCGTTGATCATTTGCTGGCACTAAGTGCAATGCTCGGCCCTTGACTGTTGCTAGGCTGTTGCAGATGAGGAGACAACAATGGAATGTCATAGAGCAGCTCTTGCATTCTTGACACACCTTATCATTGCTCAGCTGTGAGGCACCCTGGTGTCTGAGCAGAGGATCTCACAATAGTAGGCAGGTGTAGGGAGGACATCGCTGCTTTCTCAGTAGAAGAAACTTTCCCTCCTGCTCCAATCATCCTTCGCCTGCCACCGTGCCACCTAACTCACGTATAAGTTATGTTTGATCCTGGATCAGCATAAACCATTCAAAGAGTATAAACCGTCTCCAAGATGCCAAAGGCTCTCACATCAGCAGGCTGTTGATAGTGGATCCCACGCCATCTCACATATAGACATCCACACCACAACCCCAGACACCCAGCAGGTTCTGAGATCCTGCTCTCTTGTCCTGTATCCTCGCCTGACTCTCTCCATGATCTTGGCTTTTGCTACTTAACTCACTTCCCCATCCAGAAACTTCACCTGCTCCCAACCACATCTGAGCTCTGTAGCAAACTCAGTGTTAGGAAGGACACATTTCCTTTCCTATGTTAGACACTATATATAAAAAAAAAGGACAAACAATACAGCCCCATGACCCAAGTCTTGGGCCTATGACCAAGATCTTCAGTGGTGCTTCATGAGTCCCTCCCTGGGACTCATTCCACAGTTGCCCACAGCCATGGTACAACCACTATAGAGGGTCTTATAGCCTGTAAGTAGCTGTGGCTGCCCTTGGCTTGACCTAGCCCCATCCATGACTGGTTTGGCTTCAGTTTTCAACAACCCAAGGTTGCTATTAACCTGACCACAGCTCCAAAGGTTCAGGTAGGTCTTCAACCATGATGAGCCTGAAGCTGAGTCCAGGGTTCCTGCAAAGTCCAGGGTTCCTCCTGACATCCCAGAATAACTTCAAGTGACTCAAGCAGCAGGGCCGGGGCAGGACAGCAGTGACTCAGAGGGACTAGAGTGCCCTCTGTCATGGGAGACTGGGGCATTCTATTCTGTTTGTGGAACTACATTTGCTCTCTAAAAGGCTGGGTTGTGATAGCTCAGGAATGACCCATCATTTTTCTTTGTCCAAATTAAGCAAGCATATTGCTCCACAGGTACCCCATGGCCACCTGAATAAAACCAACAACTCTTCACAAACTCGTCCTGAAACATCCTCCAAGCCTGAGGGTGCTGCCCAGTAGATCCGGTAACAGATCCGGGGCTGGCCTGTCTTCCCCGTCAACCCATTCTCTGGAATTCAAGAGGTACTACAAAAGACCTTACCTCCAACAGCTCTGCCTGTGGCCCTATATCCTTCCATTGCGATTAATTCACTTAGGCTAAAGCCTTAAAAGTTCATATTAAAGGATATCACCTTGGAAGAGAGGATGTCCCTTAGCTCAGTGCAATGATTAGATTCAAAAGGTGCCCAGGATAGTAATTATTGGAACTTGAGAATTGGAACTTGAGAATCTCCTATGAGAACCTCCACTGTTCTATCTACTGCCAGCACCTTTTAACTATCAAGTCATTTAGCTCTCATTACAGTGTGGGGACATAAGTGAGTGGCCACAGACTGGAATTCAGGCCTCATGCTCCAGCAACTGTGTTGCTCACCCGTGACTACCTTCCGGAAAGGAGGGGCACAGTCCAAGATTGGAAATCGGCAATGAAAGAGGATCAGGGGACTATGAGCAGCCAGGTGACATGAGAGCTGACCAAAGGCATAGCCTAGAGGCTGACTGTGGAGGGGTGAAAATCACCAGGGAAAACGAATTTCCAGATTCCTGGATTTGGGGCTGCTTTTAGAAGCATCTTTGAGGCAATCCTGCCATCTAGTGGTAAGATAACATAGCATTCGCCCTCCAGGCAAATACTGAATGAGCCTTGGGTAGGGAAGGTTTGACAAATCAGTGGGAAGGTTGCTGCTTTTTACTCCAACTACAAATTCTAAAAGACAGGCAAATAAATCCCACTGTTGTGATCATTGAAACAGCCCAAAATTTCCACATGCCATTGTGTGCTGGCTACAGGGGAGGTTCAAATCCCAACTCTGCTCATTACTGTGGAAAGGCTTTGGGCAAGTTAAATAACCTCATTTTTCTCTTCTGAAAGATGGAGAAAACATCAACCCATATCTCTGCTGTGAGGATCAAATGAAGTAATACATGTAAGGTGTCTGGCACATTGTAAGCACATAACACAAGTTAGCTACTGTTGTGATACTAAGAAGAAATGGCAAGAACTGGGATAGGGATGGGGAGAAAAGGACCTGGACCAATTAATTAGTGACCTTTAATGAACCCCCACAGAACTGTTCTTAAGAAGTTAATTATTTTTTCCATGTGCATTTTTGTTTGTTTTTCCTAGCCTTCATTCTACATGACTGAATCATTTTTTTCCACTCAAAATTATTAGTAGTTCCCCCTGCCTCCCATAGTACTCTAGACTGTCTGGGCAAGCACGGAGGGCTCTTTAGGGTGCCCTTTCACCCTCCTGGTTTGGGTCCCCAGGCTGGAGTTACTCTTCTCCCAACCCCTTCTCACCCCACCCCAAAAGCCCTTCCTTTTCCAACACAGAGGCTTTTATAATTTCCTACCCACTCCCTTCCTCTAGCCATCAGTGATGAACAGGGACAACATACAGTTTGGGAATAAAGAAGCAATTTGTTTACTTTGAAGGTTGATTTTGAAAAAAAAAATTCAAATTTTTGAGTTATATTTGCAAAATCAAGTCAACCTTGCTCTGGCCTAGTTGTTCATTTACTCATTTAAAAAACCACAGTTAATTTTTGAACTTCTGTCTTATGCAAGAACTGTGAGTGAGAGATTCACCGTTTCCCACTCCATCTAGCCGTGGGTCAGGCTGCCTCTAGACATCCTTTTCCTTGAGTGCCAGAAGACATTAGAATCAGGTTTGTTGTCATGTGTTTTCTGGGTGCTTGGAACTGGAAAAGAAGATGAAGCGGCAGGTAGGGTGGGAACAGAGGCTGGAGGCTGTGGGAGACATCGTGGAAGGCCACTGTGAACTCACCAGGTGATAGCCTTGGCAGAGAGGGAGGATACAGGGCACTGGCCAAGGAAGACTGTTTCAAAGAGACTATGGACAGGTGAGGTTATATCTAAGGATGTTCAGTCTTACAACCACATGGTGGAATATTTGTGGGTGTCTGTAGAAGGTAAAACGGGGCAAAATGTATTCACTTGAAAGGATTCTGAAAATCTAAAAGGTACAGTCCTTGCTCTCAGGAATATACTTAGTACTTTGACTACTTCTTCCTGGCCACAGGCAGGAGAAAACAGTGACATGACTGCTGCCTCTAAAGACCAAAGAAGCTAATATTTCTCAAACAACTGGATTGGTGTAGTTTCTCAGAGGTATGTGTTTGTTTAGAACTAGGTACAAATTACCACTAATGAAGAGCCCCTGGAGATTGTGACTGGGTCAAGTTGAATCTACGGATCAGTTTTGGGAGAATGCCCAAGAACACTAATCAAGACAGGGTGGTGTTGGTATAAAAACAGACAATAGATCAATGGAACAGAACGAGAGTCTGGAAATGGGATCAAAGGGAAAATGGCTTTTGTGGTCTTCTAGCTTCTAACAGGAAGTAAAATTCCCCAAACTTTTACTCTTAACCAAAGGCTGTTATTCATGTCATGAGATCCTTTGATTCTCACAAGAATCCCGATGAGATAGTCACGTCCTAATTGTATAGCTAGATGAGAATTGGAGCTTGTCTAGAATAGAAGGAGTAGAACATCATCTGTGAGATACCATTTGAGAGCCCATAGGAATATTGCCAAATTCCTGGGCAGCTCCCCCCTGAAAAGGACTCCTGTTATACGCGAAATCCTATCAACTAACAGACAATGAGCTACTGAAGTCTGTCTTCTCCTTTCACTGTAAGCTTCTTAAAAACTGAGACCAACATGATAAAGATTTTTTTTTCAACTTCCAGTGTTTAGCAAAATGCCTAGATATATTAGGTTAGATCAGGCTATGGCATAGTAAAAATAAACCTTGAAAACATAGCGGGTTAACATACAAATATTTATTTCTTGCTCATACAAAATCAGCTGATCTCCAGGGCTACTCTTTTCCAAAAGGCAATTTGGGGATCTCAGCTGCCTTTATCATACAGCTCTGCCTTCTGGGGGACTGGAAGGCTGTGCAGATGAGGAGACAACAATGGAATGTCATAGAGCAGCTCTTGGATTCTTTGCCCAGAATTAACGCATGTCCCTCCCACTCTCAGCCCACTGGCCGGAGCTAGTCCTGTAAGCAACTGGGAGATGCTGGAGAGCACATGGCAGGCAGTAAATGCCTCTGCCGTCCTGGCTGAGAATGTGTGCCAATACACCTTGTTAAAGAAACTAATGGGTAAACCTGACAAAGGGTTTAAATTACACTATGACAGAATGACTCGAATGCTGAAGTGGCTTTCAACTTCCAGAGCCTCAGGTGAAATGAACATGTCACCAACCGGAGGAAAAATGAAGAAGGATCTGCCTTTTACTGACCATCTAGTCTATACAAGTCACTGTTCTAGACACTTGATAGGGTCCATAGTGTTTAGTCCTCAGGATGGCCCTATGGGACAGATGTTAATATTCTCTTTGCACAAATAAATTTTGCATGGAGCCACGATGAGCAGGTGGCAGAGCTGAGACTGGAGCCCATGCGTGCCAAATGTCGAAGCCTACAAGGGAGTTGATTTCCTCTACTCCACTGACTCCCTTGGCCGTGAGCGCCTTATAGAGCAGTGTAGGAGCAGGAGCGATGGCCTTCAGAAACGCAGTCTGGGGCAGGTTCCCCAGGGAGAGAGGCCAGGAGGAAGGCAAGGAGTGACAAGGCTGCACTCTGCAGCTGGGCTCCCCCATCCCCCACAGCTCTGCCTTCTCCTCTGTCTCCTGCCACCACTCAGTGACTGCCACTGAGAGGTACAGCTTCCCCAAGGCCCGGAGTCAGCGGTGAGCAGAGCAGAGGTCAGCGCCTGTTCTGGACCTTTGTATGCTTCTGACATCTCTTTCTATTCTTGTTGCACAAAGAGGCAGGGCCAGTGATCTCACAGTGCCACACAGGACACCTTTCCCAATGGCCTGGATTTTGTGACAACTGGCCAAGCTCATTTTATGCAGCTCTCTGACCCTACAGGACAGAGACTCAAATATCTGCTCCGTGCCGCTAACACTCCATACTGGCCCAAGGACATCGGAAACAAATTGGAAGGATTCCAGGTCAGATTTTGCCATTCTTGTTGTGTTTGCTTGGATAATTCACTTGGCTTCTCTGGGTTTTAATTTTTTCATCTATAAAATGGGACTCTTACACATCTACTCTCTGCCCTTGTCTTACTGGGTTACCACTGCAAGCATCAAATGGAATAATGTATGCAAGAGTGCTTTGTAGATTAAGATGAATTTAAGGGGCCTGGTGAGGTGGCTCACACCTGTAATCCTAGCACTCTGAGAGGCCAAGGCTGGTAGATCGTTTTAGCTCAAGAGTTTGAGACCAGCCTGAACAAGAGCAAGATCCCATCTTTACCAAAAATAGAAAAAATTAGCCGGGCGTGGTGGCACATGCCTGTAGTCCCAGCTACTCGGGAGGCTGAGGCAGAAGGATCACTTGAGCCTGGGAGTTTGAGGTTGCTGTGAGCTAGGCTGACACCACAGCACTCTAGCCCTGGCAACAGAGTGAGATTCTGTCTAAAAAAAAAAAAAAAAAGATGAATTTAAATGTAAGATTATTTTTTAATGGCTGGCTAAATAGTGAAAGCTTTTTGTAACTTTCTGATTGAATCTGATGATTTTGTTGAGGGAAGGAGCAAAGTTGCATATGCCCATGACATTTTAAACCTCCAAGGTACTTGCCAACTCTGCCATTCCGTAAACCAAACCTGGAAGCACACATTTTCTTCTTTCCACAGTCCTTACAAGCCAGGCCAGTGGAGTCAGAGCACATTACTAGAGATGTACTACTGAACAAAGTATTTTAACCTCTTGAACATCAGGTTTCTCGTCTGTGAAATGGGAATAATAATATTTGTGTCAGGGACTACTATAAGGACTAAAACATGATTGCACATAAAGCAATTTACACTGGGTGTGGCACATGGAGCTTGGCACACTGTGAAGTACTTGATAAGTCCCTAGTTGCAATTTTATTGTCATTATTATTATTCACATTACGGAGCCATCATGCTGTCTCCAAGGCTCTTTGCATAATCAAATTGTTGCAGCGTTCATTAGAATAAGAAAATCCCCAATCTTCCAAAACACTACATGAACATTTGGATCAATGTCTCCCAGGATGTCCTAAACTGTCTCCCACACCCTATAGAAAGCACATAATTTACAACATGGCTGGGCTCCAAAACCTTGCATGGAAAGCATTTGTTTGGAACTCAGAACATACTTTCCCAGAGAAAGAATGTTATTAAAATAGTGGTTGGATTCCCAGGTGACTGAAAATACCCACTTGGTTTCCAAAGTAGCAGAAAATTGGCATATTTGCAATGCAAATGACTGTGAAGCAATGTTATTATATTACTAGTCATTTGCGAAAACTGAAAACTAAGAAAACTGTGTAATAATTTCTATTATCTCTCATGAATGAATGCTGGTGATGAGGATAAAACAGGCTTTATTAGAGACAGAGTTCAGTGGAAATTTAAGAAGTAAATTTTTTTTTCATCATGTTTTATTTTTTTTTAAAAAAGTAAAAAAAAAAATAAGAAAGCAAGCCCCAAAAAATTTTTATTCCTCTTTGGATAAATAACATGTTATAAATCAGCTTTTACTGCATAATGTGAACTATTTCCTATAATAAAAATGCACCATACAATTCCATCGCCGTTATTGGATTTGAGGGTTTTTTAAATTTCAGCTGTTTGTACACAGACAACAATATGAAATATTTTTTTAAAAATCAGAAGTATAAATCAGAGCTATAAACTGTGTCTCTAACACCTAACTCTCTATTTTAACCTTACAAAAAAGCTCATGTTATCTTATGTTTCTATACTTCATTATAAAAAAAAAAAAACTGTTAGGAGAATTTTGCAAGGAATAATGTAGGAGCAAGAATTGTAATTAATGTAAAACTGACTAGGTAATTGATCAAATCCATTATTTTCTTGCATTTGATTATTCAATGATCTATACTTTTTTTTTCTTTTTTCATTTCAGGGTAATATGAGGGTAAAAATATTTTGCTTATATTTTATGTCTTTGCCTCTCCCTAGCGAGGGTTAGAGGCATGCCCTTCCCCTCTACAATGCTCACCATGTCCTTTAGTTGTAAATTTACTCTCCCAACCCCCTAATCCCTGGAGAATATTACTACCATGTGAGCACCATAGTGTTGATCAGTCAGTACCAATTTGATGTTGAGTACAAGTAGAGCTTATTCTTCCAATCTTGTGTTACCTCACTTCGGATAATGGGCTCAAGCTCAATCCAGGAAAATATAAGAGGTGCTAGATCACTGTTGTTTCTTATAATTGAGTAATATTCCATTGTATACATATACCAAATTTTAATGATCCACTCATGAATTGACGGGTACTTGGGTTGTTTCCACATCCTTGCAATAGTGAATTGTGCTGCCATAAACATTTGGTGCAGATATATTCATTATAGAATGTCTTTTGCTCTTTTAGGTAGATGCCTAATAGTGCTATTGCTGGATAGAATGGTATTTCTATTTTTAGCTCTTTGAGGTATCTCCAAATTCTTTTCCACAGAGGTTGCACTAATTTTCAGTCCCACCAACAGTGTAGGAGTGTTCCTGTCTCTCCACATCCTCACCAGAATTTGTTGTTTTGGAATTTTTTGATAGAGGCCAATCTCACTGGGGTTAGGTGATATCTCATTGTGGTTTTGATTTACATTTCTCTAATAATTAGAGACATTGAGCATTCTTTTACATGTTTGCTGCCCATTATTCTGTCTTCTTTTGTAAAGTTTCTGTTCATTTCCATTGCCCATTTATTGATGGGTTTTTATTTATTTTTTCTTATTGATTCTTTTAAGTTCTAGATAGATTCTTGTTATCAGCCCTTTATCAGATATGTAGAGAGTTAATATCACTTGGATCCCAGAGGGAGAAGAAGAAAATTCACAAGGGCTGGAAAACTTATTTCATGAAATACTAGATGCAAATATTCTGGGCCTAGCCAGAAATCTTGATATCCAGATACAAGAAGCACGCAGAACTCCTTGGAGACTCAATGTGAAAAGGCAATCACCATGTCAAGTGGTTATTAGGCTGACCAAAGTAAACTGAAAGAAGCAATTCTCCGAGCAGTGAGAAGAAAGCAACAAATAAACTACAAAGCAAAGTCTATCAAACTAACTGCAAATTTCTCAACTGAAACTTTATAAGCAAGAAGGGACTGGGGGCATATCCTTAATCTACTAAAATAGAATAATGCCCCACCTAGAATTCTTTATCCAGCAAAATTAAGTTTCATCTATGAGGGGGAAATAAAGTCCTTCTCAGACAAGCAATCACTGAAGGAATTTGCAAAGACCAGACCAGCCCTACAGAAAGTACTCAGTCTGCCTTACAAACTGAACAGCAGAATAGACACTCCTCAAAGTAAAATCATTCAAGAGTTAAAGCCTAGAACTTGGACTTCACAATGGCTTAATAAGTAAAACAAAACAACAAGATTTTACCCAACAATACAAATAGAAATCTTCCTCAAATTTAAATTCTCTCAATAAATGTGAATGGCTTAAACTGTCCTCTGAAGAGACATAGACTGGCAGAGTGGATAAAAATCCACAAGCCTAATATCTGCTGTCTACAGGAAATGCATCTAACCCACAAAGATACTTTCTTGCTGAAGGTCAAGGGACGGAAAACTATCATCCAGGCAAATGGAAGTCAAAAGAAAGCAGGGGTAGCTATACTATTTTCAGATAACATAAGCTTTAAAATAGCAAAAGTAAAAAAGGATAAAGATGGCCACTATATAATGGTGAAAGGGAAGATCCAATAAGAAGATATAACAATTCTTAAGATTTATGCACCCAATGCAGAAGCACCCAACTAAATAAAGCATACCTCGTCTTATCTAAATAGCATGATAAACAATAATGCCATAGTAGCAGGGGACTTCAACACTCCACTGAATGAACTGGAAAGATCCTCCAAACAGAAAATAAGTAAAGAAATAATGGACTTAAACAGAGCTCCTGAACAAAAGGGTCTGACAGATCTCTACAGAACATTCCATCCAAATAAAGCTGAATTTATGACTTCTCAACAACCCATGGAACTTTCTCCAAAATTGATCACATGATAGCCCACAAATCAGATCTCAACAAATTCAAAAAAATAGAAGTAAATCTTAAGGTGCTTTGGAGCACTTTCAAAGACTTTCAATGTTCTGTACTAGGTCTAATGCTACTTCAGAATTTTTGGACTCTTTTCTTCTTGATACAAGGGACTAGGTAGTGCCAATTTCATTCTCCACTATGGAGTTATTTTTGGTTTGCAAATGGAAAGGGGAAGGAGATGGGAGAGATTAGGGTAAGAGAAAAAGGGGTAAGAAAGATTTCCTGGAGAAAATTACTCAATAGTTTGGAGAAACTGAGAAAGGAGAAAGAGGCACACATATGTAGCAAGATGGATTTCCATTACCTGGTCTGTGAGCAAGAAAAATAGATGGTGTGAGAAGCCACAGCCTCTTGTAAAAGGGAAATGGTGACCTGATTAGGCAAACCATTCCCACTGAAGCCATAAGGTGGCACCACAGGACCAGAACAACCTGTGAAAAGCGAGGCTTCCCAATTGGGGAGGAGGGACGAATGCAGGGTTGAGCATCCAGCTATTTGGCCTTGGCAAATAAGCCTAAATAATGTCCTGGTTCCCTGTTCTGCACTTTATTGCCACGAAGGGAATGCTGAGCTAGAAAGTCAATATGACCTCATGTAAACACAGGTCTTTGTGTTTATGGGGTGAGGGAAGGAAGAATAGAATGTGGGCCCCTGAAGGAACTCAGCCCAACCTTAAATGTCTGGTGGCTTCAAATATAGTATGGATTAAATAGAAATATACAAAAACTTACAGTTTTTCAAATGTTCTCATTTGAAAATGAGGCTTAGAGAGAAGGAGCTTGACTCTGCTCATGTAACTAGTAAGTGTCAGTAACCCTCCACACTGAAGCAGGATGCCTCTCAGACTGCCCCAAACACTGGTCCACTGATCGGATGGGGCATGAGTTCATTCCATACCTCCAACTTCAGGTGAAGTCCCCTTTGCTGATATGGGACAAGCCATGTCAGGATAAGTAGAGGAGGACTTGGAAGGATAAAACCCAGTGTAGATGAGTCACAGCTCTAGAAATCTTAGGTCTCTGCTGAGAAGCTAATTCTCAGGTAAGGAGAATTTCAATTCTAGATTTTATTGCCAGAGTATCCAGAAATAATTGCAAGAGTCACATATTTCAGAAAAGAGCACTGAATGTGGAGGCAGGAGACCTGGGTCCTGACTTCCTTCTTTAACTCTGCTACCAAACTTGTGCACATCTCCCTGTCTCTGTAAGGTCACTCTCAGCTCCACCAAGAACCACTCTTCTTTCTAACTGTCTTCAAATCCTCAACAGGCAGGACTTTTGTGGTCATTGTGGCCAGGGGATGCAGGACAGTGGGTAGCTAATGCCCTAATTAGGCCACAATAGCACCAGGATGAGCATGTCCCCAATATAAATGTCCTCCCACTCCAAACCCAAAAAACGATTTCAGCCCATGATATGCAAAGCTCCTAGAGCAAAACGAAGATGTGAGTCACCACCACCCATCATAACCAAAGCAGCAGTTCCGAAGAGCCCAAACCTCAGACTCCCGATGGCAGAAGATGCTTACCAGGCAAGAGGGGAAAGAGGCCGATGAGGGTGGCTGAGGAGCAGGCTGAGAGGAGAGGTGATTATTATACAAAACAGAATAAAACAAAAACATGGCCATCATGGCCTGAAAGTGGTCCTGAATCCTCGATTCACAATGTGGGAAGGGCTCAGGGGAGAGGCCAGAACTGATTCTGAGTTGATAGACACCAGGACTCAATTCTTACAGAATCTGACTGCTGGACCCACACCAGCCCCTCTGTTCCCTCACTCCCATAGGAATGCAATCCTCGGCCCCTCAAGCCACTCCAGTGTTAGGAACACTCCAGTCTCTTTTTGACTCTGAGGCCTGACCTGCTGGTACTAGGAATCCAAGTCCTTCCCGCTGCCTTTCTTCCTCATGTTGGGGTCTCCTTGGGGGCTCCTCTGCCTCAGTCACGGGGGCATTTTCCATGTCTTCCCTGGATCCCACACTGCTGTCTGCACCTGGCTCGTGTGGCCCCCAGCAGCTCAGTGCCACTCCTCCCTCTCACACAGCCTGTTCTGTTCCCAGGGCCCCCTCTGGCTGGGGTCTCTCCCCTGACAATGTTGCCACTGCCGTGGTGCTGACTGTCCCCTCCACAGCCACTATCCTTGAGGCTGGGGAAGAGTCACCACTCATACAGTGATCAAAGCATTCTCAGCCACGTTTGAACAATGCACTCTCTCAAACCAGGCCCCCCTAGTGTGGCCTTGACATTATCTCTGCCATTCCCTCGGGAAGTATAAATTCCTGAGAAACTAGGTGAGGGAGTCTTGAAGGACACCATCGTGTAGCACCGAGCAAGTGTACCTTAAAGTCAATCATAAGAGGCAGAGGGCTTCTCCCATTGGACCCCTACAGCCTACGCATGATTTTTCACCCTGAGACTTCCCACAGAATGCCTAGGGGGTTTTCCGTGCAAATAAAATGTCTCAAATAACTCAAAGTTCCCACAGTGGCACCAACATGAATCATATGTATTATATGAAATTGTCAAAGGAAAACAACTTGTTATGTAGCCTGTGTTAGGTCAGATTGCAATATTGAAGACAGCAAGCTCCTCCCTGAAATGCCTACCAACTCCAGTCTGTACCCTTCCTCCTTCTCTTGCTCAGGGAAAAGGGTTTGAACTTCAGACTGTTAGCAACTGAACATCCTTGCTCTTAGACCTTTGCTTCCACATCACTAGAATGCTAATTGTACCTCATCATTTCTTACTATAAGACAAAAAGCGTAAAGAGATTAAATAAGCTAAAATGAGCTAAAGTTCCTGAAACAGTATCTAGCACTCTGTCAGTGTGCAGGAGTCTTATTCTTTTCTCCCCTGTCTCTTCCTCTTGGGTAGCTGGAATAGAAAAGGAAAGAAGAAAAATATTGAAATGGAGATGAAATAAAATGGGAATATAAGAAAAACATTAGTTAACTTGCATCCAGCCTTTAATTTTTGGTGGCTTCAAGGATGTTGGTACCTTGGAGATGGGAGTTTACCAACCTCTTCATTTGCCGACAAATTAATAAACTCCTCTTTCCTTTTCCTTAAACCACTTGTCCATGTTCTTCTGATGTGGTCTTGGGGACAAGTGCTGAACTTTTGGTAGAGAATTTGGTGTCCCTGGTGGGCCCCTTGGTGTCCAGGTGGAATGGCACCCCGCAACTGCTGGAAGAGGCAGGAAACAGCCCCAGGTCAAAGCCAAGGGTATTTGCAGGTAGGAGCAACTTCTTTACAAGGTGACAGAGAAAGGGATGGCCCCAGCAGGCGCCTGTTTTAGCTCCAGGGAACTCCCATGTCTGTCTTCCCAAAGTAGACATAGCTCCCCATGCAACCTGAACTGAGCTGGGGAAAAGGAAATGGATTTGGAAAGTCTCTGGATGCCAGGCCTTTTATTGGGTAAGTTCCCCGGTGTGCAGGCCAAGACCCTGATTCCATCCATATGGGGTGGGGGGGGGTTGGTCTTCCTGTTGGTTTTGTGGGGTTTGAGGTGCCTTTGGGGGGTGAAAGTCATTTGGTTGAGTGGAACTAGGGAACCTGGTTTGAATTTGGAGCTCATTTGCGGTTCCCAGAGAACAGGGTGGGGGGAAGACTAGGCTACTTGGGGAGGGTATTGAACCTTCCAGTTGGGGTGGTGTTTATCCCCTTAGGATTCCCATTTGTTGGATAGGCCCTGGCATTTTTGGTGTCCTTGGTGTTGTCTGTTGTTTGTGAGTTTTGTTGCAACATAAGGAAGCTCTAACTCCCATTTGATTGATAGGCTATGGCATTTCAGATAGTTTGTGTTGGAAATTCCCTATATTGTTGGTATTTGCTAAACATTATTGTCTGGTGTGTGAGGAGCAGCGATGGTTGGTACCCTTGTATAAAGTGTGAGGAAAGTGGTGTTTGATGGCCTGTGGTTTATTCTGAGCTATTGGTTCTTTTAAAATTCCAAACTCAAATGGTCGACCTGCCACTACAGAGTTAAAATGCTGAGTCTCAAGCTCTCTGCTTGAGACAAACTCATTGTTTATGGTATACGAAGTTATCTGTGTTTGTGTGATTTTTGATAAATGAGGTCCTCCAACCCCCACCAGAACCCCGGCAGCTGGCCAGGGTGAGGCGCCTGGCAGGGCCACAGCTTGGGGGCGGACTCGACAGGAGGGATGACTGGCACACGTGCCCACCACCAAGGAGCACGAAGCAAGGTGGGAGGAACACCCGCTGCTGCCACCATTTTGGCACCACGGGAGGGTCCGGGGAGGACGTCGCCTGAACTAACTCTTCAGTCCCACGCCCAGTAAATTACGACTTGGGGTTCTCTCCTGGCAGCAAACTCAATTTGGGCTAGAAGGAACCCATAACCGGGGTAGGCAATTTGTGGCAACATCAGATAGCGGGGCTTGAATGTGCAAGAACAGCTGCAGGGTCCTTTGAGAAAGTCAAAAGGAAAGGGCAAAAAAGTCTCCCCAGATTGACTTTTTGTAAAGAAGGGCCTTGAAAGGAACATTGCCCAAAATTGCAAAGGACTCTGGGTGGCAGGAAGCCTCCAGGAAAGCAAATCGTTTTTTTGTTTGTTTGTTTGTTTTTTAAGTCCAGGACTCAGACAGTGAAGGAGGAGCCCCCTGCCTCCAAATATCCCCACAGGATGGTACTTTGAGATGGGAGTCTGCCAACCTCCTCATTTGCCGGCAAATTAATAAACTCCTCTTTCCTTCTTAAAAAAAAAAAAAAATTCTGGTAGCTTCAAGTCTAATAGGGATCAAACTGAAATATACAAAAACATACTGTGCTAAGTTCTTCCTTCCCTTAATTTAGGAAAAGCTTTGAACAACAAACGTATCCTTCTCTTCAACTATAGGCCTTACATTGGACCTTTAATAAAAATAATGAATTCTTCTACTAAATTTGACATATGTTAGAAAAAGAAAAATAATGCACAATTATATTTTTAAACCTACAAAATTCTCTTAAATTTAATACAAGTAATTTATGTGAACCAACTAGTTTGCTCTTAACATGAAATTAAAATAGAAAACATCTATCTTTAGAGGCTACTAGAACACATAATTTCAGAACCATCTCTTGTAATAACTTGCTGCCTGATCTTTCACAGGTTACTTCATTTCCTAGGCCTTTTGCCCTTCAAATGCAAAATGGGGAAACTAGTACCCTCTCTGTCTACTTCACAGGGGAGGTGAGAGGAAACTGTGGATAGAAAAGAGGCTAAGAAAAAATTAGAAGAAGTATAGAAATGAGAAAAAAATAGTTTGCTATATATAGGGATGCTAGGGTACATTCTTTATTTGCTTTCAAATTCTATAATTCACACGATTCCAGGCACATAAATCCGAGTAAGCCTGAGACACGTCTGAGGATTCTTAGGAAGAACAAGTCCAGGGGACCGGGGAATGGGGGCGGGGCAGTGCGGGAGCAGAGCCCTGGGTCATTGGCTTGGGCAGAAGCCCCATTGAGATAAAGAGCACAGCAGAAGGACGTTGGATCCAAACAACTTCATGCATAGCTTCCCCTTTGCCTTTCCCCTCCATTTCAAGGGTTCTCACTGGGTTTTGTTTTGTTTCGTTTTTTCCTTTGAAGGTCCAGAAATGGCCTTGGTATGTCTGACAGACTTCCAGGCGCAGGCCCGAGAGAGGCTCTCTAAGTCGTCTTGGGATTTTATCGAAGGAGGAGCTGACGACTGCATCACGCGGGATGACAACATCGCAGCGTTCAAAAAGTCTGGTCTTCTGTATCCCGTGTATTGTTAAGCTAACGTGCCCTGATCCTTGGACAGTAGTCGTCCTGGTTTCTGCCTCCAAAAACAAACCCAGAATATTCCAAATATAATAATGTGGCTTTTTGTTGTTTTGCTTCATTGTGGGGGAGGAGGAAAGATGGACAAAGAGGGAATTTATCTTAGCACTAGCACAAGGGAGTGACCCTTCCTCTGCTTCCCAGCAACTCTGCAACCCGACATGATGAGACATGAGTCCCAGGATGAAAAGCTGCTCAGGCAGGGAGGAGAAGCCTGCCGGGTAGGCCTAGATCTCCTGAGTTCCTAGAGCTACTGCGCTTGGAGGAGAAAGTGTAAAACAGGAGAGAGGACTCAGGTTTAGAGGAAATATGGAGATCCAAGGAGCCTTAGGAAGGATAAGAGATTGATTCAAGGGCGGAGAGTTGGACTGGAAAAGCTGGAGACAGAGCGTCAGTCAACCAGCAGCTGCCCCCAGGCCAAAGCAGGCTCACAAGCTAACGATAGTCCTTCCTTATTATGTAAAAATGGTTGAGAGGCCGGGGGCGATGCTGACGCCTGTAATCCTAGCACTCTGGGAGGCCGAGGCGGAAGGATTGCTCGAGGTCAGGAGTTTTGAAACAGCCCTGAGCAAGAGCAAGACCGGGCTCTACTATAAATAGAAAGAAATTAATTGGCCAACTAATATATAGAGAAAAAAAATAGCTGGGCATAGGTGGTGCATGCCTGTAGTTCCAGCTACTTCGGGAGCGAGGCAGGGAGGATTGCTTGAGCCCAGGAGTTTGAGGTTGCTGTAAGCTAGGCTGATGTCCACAGCATCACTGTAGCCTGGGCAACAAAGCCAGACTCTGTTTTCAAAAATAATAATAAAATAAATGGTTGAGGAGTTGGGGGCCATTTACAAGAAGACAAGGACTTATGACATGTAAAATTGTATGAAATTCAATTTAATATATATCTATATATATATAATATATATATATATATTTTTTTTTTTTAGAGACAGGGTCTTGCTCTGTCACCCAGGCTGGAGTGCAGATGGCCACAAACCATCACCTCAGAAAAGCTCAGACATCCTGGGCACAAGAGATCCTCCCACCAATCAGCCATCCTGAGTAGCTGGGACAATAGGCACGTACCCCAGTCCAGCTAATTTTGTTGTTGTTGCTTTTGTAGAGATGGGATCTCACTATGTTGCCCAGGCTGGTCTCGAATTCCTGGCTTCAAGTGATCCTCCCTGCTTCGGCTCTAGAAGTGCTGGGATACAGGCTACAGCCACTGTGCCCAGCCTGAAATTCAAATTTTAATGTTGGTAATAAATATTAATTGGAACACAGCCATGCTCACAGTCATTTACTATTGTCTATGGCTGGTTTTGTGCTACAACAGCAGAACTGAACAGGCTGTGACAAAGACTGATAATTTACTATCTGGCCCTTTATGGAAAAAATTTGCTGACCCCTATGATGCAAGGTCAGGAGAAAACTGAAAAATGGAATACAAAGTAAGCACTATATTCTATATTTTCGTATTTAATTTAGCCACTATACTAGGCACTTTAAATGATCATCTCATTTTGTTTCAGAAAACTATTAGGAAATTTGGATTATTTATCCTATTTCACAGATGAAGAACTCAGGCTAACTTACTCCAGTTTGCACAATTAGTATTTTCAGAAAATTCTTCTAAGTTTGTGTACAGAAATAACAATAATAATATTTTGTAAAAAACAGAAATGTTTTGACCCTGAGGCTAAGGCATCCTCAGGGTCTTAAAAGTGTGTTTTACACACTTTTAATTCTCTTTCCTTCTCCTAAAGCAGTATTTGAGCCAATTTATTTATTTATTTATTTATTTTTTTGAGACAGTCTCACTCTGTTGCCTGTGCTAGAGTGCTGTGGCATCAGCCTAGCTCACAGCAACCTCAAAGTCCTGGGCTCAAGCAATCTTTCTGCCTCAGCTCCCGAGTAGCTGGGACTACAGGCATGTGCCACCATGCCCTAATTTTTTCTATAATTTTTAGTTGGCATCAATTTCTTTTCATTTTTAGTAGAGATGGGTCTTGCTCTTGCCTCAGGTTGGTTTCAAATCTGACTTTGATGGATTTCCCACCTCAGCCTCCGTGCTTGGCCATGCCAAATCTCAAAATGAATTAGCTGCTAGCAAAAAAGTCATGATCACTCTCTGGGATTTGTCCTCTTTCAGTGACCTTTTCTTATTTTCTGGAGACTTGTCTCTAACTGGAGAGGAAACTCCTTCCTACCTGTTCTTTTCCTTTCCGGTCCTTGCTATGATGAATCCAGAACTGAGAGCCTGGTAGAGAGGTGCAGCTCAAAGGCGCAGATCCCCGACTGAGCCAGGCAGGGGCAGTGTAGACCGTGTATGCATGAGCAGCTCAGAGAAGGCTGGTGAATGCGGAGGAGAGGCGTTGGGAGAGGCTTCCTGTAGAGGAGCCTCCTGCTGGATCCACACTGCTTATCCAACTCCCAGCCAACTGAACCCACCACGGTTTCAGGGGACCCAGTCTAGTTTAGACCCGCACCAGGAATCAGGGAGCCCTAGCCCCAGACAGCAGCTCCATGCTGAAGGGTCATCCCACCAATACAACATCTCTTTGCTGCCTAGCACAGAATCCGCCTCCGTCCCCGGTACCTGAGAGATGTGTCGGAGGTAGACACCAGGACCACAATCCAAGGGGAGGAGATCAGTGCCCCAATTGGCATCTCCCCATCAGGGTTCCAGTGCCTGGCCTGGCCTGATGGGGAAATGAGCACAGCAAGAGGTAAGAACCACGCCGCCGCCTCGAGGCCTTTTCCCCAGAAGTCTAGAAATACGCAGCAGGTTTTCCTTGGGGCAGGAACAGGGAGCCCCAGGGTTTCTCTCTAGCAGGGCTTAGGGACAGCAATCTGATTGGCATTAAGGAAGGATGGAAAGGGAATGCTTAAAACTATGGGTGTATAACATTTCACCTAAGATTGAGACAGCATTCATTTTTCATAATAAAGGATTGTTAGACTGGGAGAGAGGCCACGGATAAATAGGAAGGTGTTAAAATCCCACCAAGTCATCCCTCGGAAGAGGGGTGCCAACCCCTCTGACTCATAGTCTCTGCGAGGTAAGTGATGCTTAATGTGGCCCCAGAGGTAGGCCTCTCTTTGGCCCCTTCCCGGCCAGGAATGGGGCTGAATGGTGAGTCTCTGAATTTAGAATGAGCAGAGAATCATGACATCAGGTCCTAACACAAGGCCCTGGCAATTGCTCTTACCCACATATTCCATTATCCTTCTCAATGGACCTTGTCATCTTTGCTGACAAAAAGTTTCTGGTTAGTTTCTGGTTAGTTTCTCCTTCTTAATAAATGCCCTTCTCTCCCCACATCCTCCACCATCATCAATAATAATAATTATTATTATTATTTTAATTATAGAAGAGAAGAGAGGGAGCTGAAAGGATTCTTAGGACTTCTTTGTAATCTTCACTATAGGTCAAGTCTGTTTTTGTGAGTTGCCCAGGGCTTCCTTAGGGTCCCTTCTTTTGACTCTCTGACATAGGAAGCAGTGGATCCAAGGATTTGGGAGCTGAAAGTGACATCCCTCTTGATGAGGTTAGGAAACAGGTCTGTCTAGGTTGAACTCTGAATAGCCTATACGAATATGACCAGTCTACTAAAGTTTACAGTTGAATGTGTCATTTGGGGGTGGGGTAAAAGAATGGAGTATTTCCTGTTGACATGAAGAATGGAAAATATTAATTTTTGATTAGGCCAAATTCTCTGCCCCTGGGTAGTAGCGTGGCAGTGACAATAACCTGTTGGAGAATCCCACTGAAATGATTAAATTAGGAAACAAGAAATATGCAACTTAGCAGCAGCAGCTTCAATATCCTCACCATCATGATCATCAACCTCATTAACACCAGCACTCATACATCACTTTGCAATTTAAAAGAACGCTTGCATGTTGAGTATCTTATTTAATCTTCCCACAATTATAAATACAGCTGTTATTATTTCCTTCGTTTTACAGATACAGGAAATAGGAGGCTCAAGGACACACAGCAAAGAAGTGGTAGAGCTAGCATTCTTCTAATTACAGATATCATGGTTTTTCCACTACAAAGTTCAGGCTTCTTCCTTTGAATTACATTCCCTCAACCTCTGCCCTCTCTAACTCTCTTCTGCTTCATTAGGTATTCATAAGAAGCCCACTTTCCTGTCTGAAGGCTGTAACACACCCAACGTAGTTCTGAAGGCTAAATGACATCTCCAACTGGAAACATTTTATTAGGAATACAGGCTTTGTATGACAGATTATACAGAGGAGGACCCAAACAGCTTTAGGCATCTCAGTCTGATCAAATCACCTTCCATACCTGCCCTACAGGAAAGTAGGATGAAGTTAAGCTTTACCTGCACTCACAGGGCAAGCTAGCCAGAGACCACACAGATGCCCAGGGCTTCTCACCCCAGTCCAGATGCCTTTTCCCTCCACCCTGAGTCGTGTCATTGTTTCGCAGCCGCCCAAGCAGCCAAGGTCTGCTACATCACCAGCACGTACTCCAGCTGTGACTTTGAAGATATTGTTGCTGCTGCTCCAAGAGGCCTCCGGTGGTTCCAGCTCTATGTGCAACCAGACCAGCAGCTGAACAAACAGCTGGTCCAGAGGGCAGAATGCCTGGGTTTCAAAGCTTTGGTAATCACAGTGGATACACCCATACCTGGCAACAGGCGACATGATGTTCGAAATCAACTGGACTTGCAAAAGAACTTAATGCTAAAAGATCTTCGATTACCTAAAGAGGTAGGAAAGATGCCAGAGTAATGCAGGCATTACAGGAGGCAAATTTCCTTCCCCCCTTTCCTCTTTTCCTCCTTTCTTTCTTTCTATAAGTATTTATTGCGAGCCTGCTCGGTGCCAGACACTAGGGGTGCAGCAGTTCAAAAAAGCAGATCTGGTTCCTGATCCCCAGAGCTTCCAGATAAGCAGAACATAAGACCAAATGTCCTCACCCCTGTGGCTGCCCAACCTTTTAACAGAAGTGTTCTGGCCAGAGCTGGATGCTGAGAAATGGAAAGGCTATAGAAAGGATTTATTTATTTATTTATTTTTTGAGACAGAGTCTCATTTTGTTGCCCAGGCTAGAGTGAGTGCCATGGCGTCAGCGTAGCTCACAGCAACCTCAAACTCCTGGGCTCAAGTGATCCTCCTACCTCAGCCTCCCAAGTAGCTGGGACTACAGGCATGCGCCACCATGCCCGGCTAATTTTTTCTATGTATATTAGTTGGCCAATTAATTTCTTTTTTATTTATAGTAGAGATGGGGTCTCGCTCTTGCTCAGGCTGGTTTCGAACTCCTGACCTTGAGCAATCCGCCCGCCTCGGCCTCCCAGAGTACTAGGATTACAGGCGTGAGCCACCTCGCCCGGCCTATAGAAAGGATTTTTGCATGGAATAGGTGAGTAAACAAAGAAGTTCATCCAACATTTTCTACTTTGTGGCACACTTAGAAAATTATCATTTTGGATGGTAGATAAGCTGACTCTCTGAAGAGGGTGCTCACAGCCAAGGCAACTGGCCAGCCTGTCTAGCCAGCCCAGATCCCACTCTGTTGCTGTGAAGACTGAGGAGTCAATATCTCTGCACATCTAGAACTTATTTGTGGAACGACAGGGTACTGTAGCACATCTGTTTGGAATCTCTGAACTAGGTGACTGCAAAGGAAACTTTCTCCATTAAAATCCTACCGTTGAATGGCATGGAGTGCCCCAGAGAGAAAAAGCCATGGTAAAGTTGAATCCCTTGGCTGCAGTAGAGATAGTAATGTCAGCCTTTTGAGCAAAGGGCAGCTGTGATACCCAGTCAGATGACTTAGCAGTTCTACTCATTAACCACAAATTGGCCTTGAGGTTAAAATATTTTTCCAGATTCTACAGGCACACTGAAATCTATAAATATTTGGATACATGGTGAGCCAAGGGTAAACAGTGGATAAGATTATTGAAACATTGCTTAGTTCTTATTGTCCTGTGCATATCTGAACCCTAACACCTCACACTGACCCATAAATGCATTTCCTTATCCATCTCATGTACTGTACTCTGAATTATTTTAAAGAAGAGAATTTGTCTTCTTTGTCTTTGTGTCCCCAGACCCTGGCATAATTATTGAGCAGCCACATAATTAATGGTTCGTGAATAAGCAGTTGAAGTAGAAATCCTTTTATATAAATTTTGTTAAGAATAGGAGCTAGAAGCATTGCTGGATCCTTTTGCTTCTCTCTCAAGCTTATAAATGGCAACTCTCCAAATGTGTCTCCTCTTTGGAATGGGTCAAACAGTCTTGTAGGAGTTGAGGACTAAAGTTCCCTTTCTATTTCCTACAGAGAAATTCAATACCTAGTCTCCAGACATCTGGCATTAGCAAATCTCTCTGCTGGGATGACATCTCCTGGTTTCAGAGCATAACCCGATTGCCCATCATCCTTAAAGGGATTTTGACAAAGGAGGATGCAGAGTTAGCTGTGAAGCACAATGTCCATGGCATCATTGTTTCCAACCACGGTGGGAGGCAACTTGATGAGGTTCCCTCTACAGTAAGTAGGATGACTTCAAAGGAGTGTGTTGTCGTGAGTGCCGTGTGTGTGTGTGTGTGTGTGTGTGTGTGTGTGTGTGTGTGTCTACACCAAGGTACTCTATGAAACTGGGGCACCTTCCCCCCTCCCATACAATATACATTGGAATATACTTATGGATTTTAAGGACCTTTAATCATTAATAATAGCCTAGCATGTACCAGGCTAGTTTTACAAACTTTACATATGTCATCTCTAAGTCTCATGCCAATGCTGCAAGACGGGTGTTATTACTTCTGTTTCACAGAAGGGGATACTAGAGTTTAGAGAGACATTAAGTAACTTGTCCAAAGTCACATAGATAATGAGTGATTAATGTGGAATTGGATAAGAAAGCTGTTCCAAAAGCACCACCAAGGTCTCCTGCCTCCTGGAAACTTCAAACTTGCACATCTGCATGGATTGTAACTTCCTATTTTCCCATCTGACACATCCCAGGAAGAAACAGTGTTTCACTCAAGCAAAAGTAATAAATAACCATCTTTCACAATAAGATTAAAACATGTACTAAGGAATATTTCACTAAAATCTATGATGGCCTATAATTTTTTTCCCCTAACTCATGAATTTATGTCCATGATAGATGGAGGTTGGAGGGAAGAAAATGAGAAAAAAGAGAAAAAGGAAAAAAAATCTTTAAATTGGAATTAGTTTTTGATTTATCTTCAGGGAGGTATATTAATAGTTCTGCAATAGTTCTATTGCTGCTTGACTTGAGATGGGAAGTCAGGTTCTTTCCTCTTAAGTTTTATTGACCTTGCTACTATGTAAATAAAACATGTTCACTGCTCATAAATGATAAAACATACATAAACAAAAAGAAAAAGATAAAAATCATCCCTAATTTCATCACTATCACTATATCAATATTTTGGTAATGTTGTCATTAACTTTCTAATGCAAATATAATTTTTTGTGTTAAAAAAACTATGAATGATGTTTTGTAATTTCTTACTTTTACTTAGCAATATATTAAGAGTGACTTTTTGTTTCAATATTTATGCTCTTCTTATTTTTAATGGTGTGTAGAATGAATGGTCAATTTATATAACCAGCCTCCTATTGTGGAAGATCTGTATTTTTACAGATCTTCCAATCTTTAACTATTTTAAACAGTGTATTAGTGACTACCCTTAAAGCTAAAATCTTTAGCACTTTCTCAATTATTTCTTTAAGATAAATTCCAGGAATTAGAAATGCTGCCTTATCCAGTTTGCACATTTGGAGACTTGTAATGCTGGGAGGCGTAAGGTGCCAATCACTCACCCCTTCCTCTGCGCCAGGCTCTCAGTGGTAGAGAACAGGTAGAGGAATGGCAAGTCCACGTGGAGATGCAAGAAACATATCGTACATGAAAAAAAAGAAAAAAGAAATTAAAAATTTAATAAAAAATAAATTAAAATTAATCTCTTGTGCCCAGGAGTTCGAGGCTGCAGCGAGGTGATGGTTGGGCCACTGCACTCCAGCCTGGGTGACAGAGCAAGACCCTGTCTCTAAAAAAAAAAAAAAAAAAAAATATATATATATATATATATACTATAGTATATATATAGATATATAAATTGAATTTCATACAATTTTACATGTCATAAGTCCTTGTTCTTCTTGTAATGGCCCCCACTCCTCAACCATTTAATTTTATTATTATTTTTTGAAACAGAGTCTGGCTTTGTTGCCCAGGCTACAGTGAGTGCTGTGACATCAGCCTAGCTTCACAGCAACCTCAAACTCCTGCTCAAGCAATCCTCCTGCCTCAGGCCCTCCCGAGTAGCTGGGACTACAGGCATGCACCACCATGCCCAGCTATTTTTTTTCTCTATATATTAGTTGGCCAATTAATTTCTTTCTATTTATAGTAGAGCCGGTCTCGCTCTTGCTCAGGCTGGTTTCAAACTCCTGACCTCGAGCAATCCTCCCGCCTCGGCCTCCCAGAGTGCTAGGATTACAGGCGTGAGCCACCGCCCCCGGCCTCCTCAACCATTTTAAAATAAAAAGACTATCATTAGCTTGTGAGCCTGCTTTGGCCTGGGGGCAGCTGCTGGTTGACTGACGCTCTGTCTCCAGCTTTTCCAGTCCAACTCTCGCGCCTTGAATCAATCTCTTATCCTTCCTAAGGCTCCTTGGATCTCCATATTTCCTCTAAACCTGGAGTCCTCTCTCTCTGTTTTACACTTTCTCCTCCAAGCGCAGTAGCTTTAGGAACTCAGGAGATCTAGGCTACCCGGCAGGGCTTCTCCTCCTGCCTGAGCAGCTCTTCATCCTGGAACTCATGTCTCATCATGTCGGGTTGCAGAGTTGCTGGGAAGCAGGAGGAAGGGTCACTCCCTTGTGGCTTCCTAAGATAAATTCCCTCTTTTGTCCTTCTTCTCCTCCTCCCCCACAATGAGCAAAACAACAAAAGGCCACATTATTATATTTGGAATATTCTGGTTTGTTTTTGGGAGGCAGAAACCAGGACGACTACTGTCCAAGGATCAGGGCACGTTAGCTTAAACAATACACGGGGATACAGAAGACCAGACTTTTTGAACGGCTGCGATGTTGTCATCCCGCGGTGATGCAGTCGTCAGCTCCTCCTTCGACATAAATCCCAAGACGACTTAAGAGAGCCCTCTCCTGGCCTGCGCCTGGAAGTCTGCCAGACACACCAAGGCCATTTCTGGACCTTCAAAGGAAAACACGAAACAAAACAAAACCCAGTGAGAACCCTTGAAATGGAGGGGGAAAGGCAAAGGGAAGCTATGCATGAAGTTGTTTGGATCCAACGTCCTTCTGCTGTGTGCTCTTATCTCAATGGGCTTCTGCCAAAGCCAATGACCCGGGCTCTGCTCCCCGCACTGCCCCGCCCCCATTCCCGGTCCCTGGACTTGTTCTTCCTAGAATCCTCAGACGTGTCTCAGGCCTTACTCCGGAATTTATGTGC